GGTGAAATCCCCCCAGTTTGACCAAATTTCCTTAAACTTAGACTGAAGTAGTTTTGGGTGGACCCCTTTAAACTGGCAAAGTTTCATTGAAATCGGTGAGATGGCTTGTGCCACCCCCGCCTGGCCCTATCATGGATGCACTCTTAACCTTTTTTTGAACCAATTGCATAGAAAGCTTCAAAGCTTCATGAGGCTTCATCTGGCCATCACTACCAATAGCACTCCTTATAATCATAAATGTCACTATACACTACAAACAGTTATTTGGTCCCAGTTATTTGATTACAAGAAACTTTCAAATTTCACAAAGACATACTTGTGCTATCACCAGAAACATCAAGTTGTGTATGTTTGCTCACTATAACTGTCTCACCACAGTGACAGCTGCTATACACGGACGTAAACTGGACGGTCACCAGTTTATGGCACAACACGTGTTATGTGCATTTCGCGTTTCTCCTTGAAGATTGTCCCACTCCGCGTCCCGTACTTTAAATATCGGAAGTGCGGTTGTTTACGGAATCAGGAGGAAACGTCGAAGCTCAACACTAAATATTTCGTTACGTTAGAGTACAGCTAAGCTGGTGAATTGCTTTTGTTACGAAACCCATCTTTTACTTAGCATACAATATTTGCGTGATGGTTTTGGTAAATTATGTTCCGGGTAATTGTTTTTTTAACAGTCCTCGGAATCTTTCACTGAATCCAAACTAGTACGGTAAGCTAATGTGCTAACGTTGGCATCACAAGTGACCCCACAGCTCGTTTAGCAGTAGCTTTGGTGTCATGGAAATAACCAAACGGTAAATGCAGACTACATATTTATGTCTACAACGCGTTTAACTACGTTGGAAACCAAGTTAAAGGAATTAGCACATCCACCGTGGAGACACCGGCGTTAGCTTTAGCCAACAAATGCCACCGTGCTGCAGGTTTTGAGGTGCCACTTGAAAGTTTCTTCATATTCAGCAGACTTGAAGGAAAACTGTTCAGCCCAGTTATCAGATATTATTAGCACAATGGCCGAGACTATAATAACGTTTCAGTCCCAACTTTCTGGTGTCATGGAAACAGTCTTCAAGGCTGCCATGTATGAGATCACCCGGCTGGTGGAGGATAGCTTTTTGGAAGAAGTAACGCGGTGCAGGGAGCAGGTGGATTCACTGAAGAGGCGGCTCAAGTGGTCGGAGAGTCGACGCAAAGAAAGAGAGGGAGACCGAAGGGGGAGATGCATCGACTGCGGAAGAGTCGGGATGTCTGATGAGGATAAATCCAGAGCGACCGGTGAGTCTGTGGAAATGGTGTTACCCCGTTATAGTCAGCCAGTATTCATGTAATCATAGGGGTGACAAATCCATAGCTGCTTTATGATGCTTTACATTAGGTGATGGGACGCTGCAGAGTCATGGTACATAATCATACATGCAAAAATACGAAGATTTGTTCCTATTTTTGATACTATGTTGAACAAAACAGCATGTAATAATTAATGAAATTCGATCCATTCCTTACAGGATAGTCTTTCATAATCCCACAATGGGGGAGTTTACAGCAGCAAAGGCAATAGAGCAAAAAATGTTGGGACAGCAGTAGAATTATTGAAGAAATGTACACAAGTACTGTTGATACTGTACATATTTCTCCATATGTGGACATTTAGATGTTGCACAGTTTCCTCTATTTGTGGAAAATAACAGCAATGCACAGATTCTTCCAAAGTACTAATATTGCACAGATTTTTATTGATATGGCACTTGTTGTTCCCTGAGTAGATAATACTGATGTTATTACTGATAATACTGACAGCATTAATATTAGCATAGGAGAATAAGTACTTCTTGTTTCAGGACTCTTCATTTCTACAACAGAATCAATGTCATGAACCAACCAAGTATGCACACTATCGTGAATGATGATAGGAAGGGTAAGAGTTGGTTCATAGAAGAGAAAGCGTAAGTCAGCGAGTTCACGAGGTTGTCAATGCTGCTTGCGTGAAATTGTCCTAAGGGTGTGGTGAATTTCTGAAGGGATTCTTTAGATGACAAGCGGTGGAGCTGTCAACATCAAAGTGCCTGGCTATGGCCTAAACTCACACGGCAGCATCCATCGTGTCAGCAGCCTGACTCCGTGGTTCTTATGTCATCTGCGGCATTGTGGCGTTTGAATAAAATTTTAATTCAAGGTAGCTTTTTATCGTCACTTGTCAAAGGATTGTCTTTGTACTGGCCACGGTATGTGATTATTTAAAGGCACACCTGACTGGGGTGTGGGTTATTTCAATAGATGAGAATTTGGTACCAGTTAAACAGCTTGTTGTGAACAAGTAGCTAAATTGAACCCTTTTCTAACTATAACAATAGAAATGACAATTTAAACCTTTTCTCAGGGTCAGAAAAGGACACTGTTTGTATTGTGCATTTGTACTTTTGTTCAGTGTATATGTTCTTGCTCAAAAGCTTGTATTTTAAGGTGTATCATAAACAGTGCTGCGTGCTTTAGGTCTGTCGTGTAGCCTACCTTTGGTGGTTCTGAGATTTTTAAGTCAGAAAAGAAGACCATTTCCATGCTTCCTTTCTATTTTTGTGCAGTATAATAATATTAGGCTTTTAAGCTGCTAAATACATAAAATATTTCCGCTTCTTGTCTCATAATCGTTTTTTGTTCTAACACTGATCATATCTGTTTTAAGTATCTTAAAGTGATACATTAATAAATTAGATTGTAGTCCATTTGAGGCTTTTTAAGTGTTAAAATGCAAATGTAAGTAGTTATGCTCTCAGATTAAACCAAAATAACCCCACAATTTTACTACTGTCTCCAACAGAGAAACATCTGAAACAGGAGTGTGTGCTGCAGGAAGAGATGCATAGTTCCCATGGCACTGACGGAGAAACATCTAATCATGAAGCAGAAGAGGCAAAACCAGAAGGCCACAGTGCGATGAAGGCTACACAGGTAGGATGCTTTACTGCACTATGGGCCATCCCATACAAGTTCCCACCTGACTCCCTCAGAATAAGCATCTTTTTTTTTTGTACAATAACTTTGCTATATTTAATGAAGACATGCACAAATTTGCCGTTGTAGTAAGAATATATTTTCAGTTAGAAGACCCTTAAAATACATGGGAGTGGGTTAAACTTTCTCACATTTGACTCTTTCCAGCATTTTTAAGCCCTCTCAACCTCATAAGTACAGCAGGTAGACACATGAAATTTTCAGGGCTGAACAACAATTCAATTTTACTGGTAATTCCCTGGAGAAAACTTTCAAGGGTCATGCTTTGTGAAAAAAAAAAAGAGCTTTAGTGTTACATTACCTAAGCTGACCAGACACCAAGCTTATAGTTCCTCTTGAGCTGAGTGGAGTTTAACATCATGTTGTGTTTCTGCTCGTCTTCCAGGCCTCAAATGTACAAGGTGACAAGTTTGATCGACTTCTCAAGGAAGAAGCTCTGCGGATCACACCGGAAACCAATGACACGCAAGGTTGGGGTGTCAGTTTAGATGGTGAGTCTCTATGTAAATATGTACAAGAAATATATTGCTTGTTTTAAAGTCTTGTTGGTCACATTTAAATATAGAGACAAACCATAAGTGTGCAAATGACAATACGGTGCACATCGGATGAAAAGTCAAGTTAGGTCAAGAAATCTTTATTCATGTATCATATTAAAAACAACCGAAGTTGCTCCTAAGTCCTTTCCATTTAAGACTAAGAATTAACAGTAGAAATATGGATTAATAAAACAAAGAATAAGAATTAAAGTAAAGAGATATCAAACATGCATCAGGATAACCATAAGAACATTAAGTAAAAAGTAAGCGATAAAGACATGAATGTAAGAAATCACATAGTAGGACAGCCACATGAACACGATGGCAAAGCTGACACCTGTTGGCAAACATTAATTCAATAATAAAATATTAAATTATGAATCAAAGTTAAAAAAAATGTAAAAAAAGAAAAAGAAAAAAAGAAACTGAATGTACCGGCGACTATTCAAAGTATTCATATAGTAATTGTGTCTTACAGCAGCAACTGTTTGACAATCTTTTTCTTCTCTCTTGTCTCAGAAACAGAAGCATCTGGGCTGCCAGGACCCAGTAAACGTTTCAGTGACCAGAAGATCCCTAAGTGCCATGTGAACTGGGAAACTGGCTTCCACCAGAGACCAGAATCAAGCCAGGATGGACACTCAGGTGACCCATCTGAAGCTCTTTTCCAAAACCGGTATGGCATGGAGGACTTGGGCGGCTTTGACAAGAGTGGCTACGGAGACAGCAACATGATAGACATGGGTAACTTTGATGGGTTGCAAGGCTCACCGTCCCACCTGGGCGGGGATCTTAATTACGTGGGGCACTATAATGAGGATGTGGAAGCACCAGAGGGAGCTGAGCATCAAGCTTATCAAACAGGTGTCCCACGGAATAAAAGAGGTGCAGGCAGTTCACCTGCAGGTTCACCTTCCAGGACTAACATCGATGTAGGTGGAGAGTTCAGCTGTTTACTGATTAATGAGGAAGGGTACCTGCAGGATCCAAATGTTTTGTACCCCCAACAGGTGTCTGGTGATTCCGGCAACAGACTGAGCTTTCGGGGTCAGGGCATTCGTATCGACCCGTCTCTGGACAGCACAGAGGGCATGTATGGACCCTCAGCCACATACAGTGATACCTTAAACTTGGGCGAGAGGTTGCAGCATCAGGCAGCAGGGAGAGTGGGAAGGAGGCACACCTGTAACCAGTGCTCCATGTCCTTCCCTGATTCTGCTTCCCTCAAGGCCCACAAACAGATACACAAAACCACCGGACAAGGGCCCCCATACTCCTGCAACCAGTGTGGGAAAACCTTCACTCAAGCTTGTAACCTCAAAGTCCACCAGAGAATTCACTCAGGACAGGGGCTCCACCTCTGCAGCCACTGCGGGAAAGGTTTCCCTTCCTTTTCGGACCTAAAGTCACACAAATGTGGCCAAACGGGCGACAAACCTTACTGCTGCACCGTGTGTGGGAACAAGTTCAGCCGTCTCTGGAATCTGAAGTTGCACCGGAGAATTCACACGCAGGAAAAACCTCATCGGTGCAACATGTGCGACAAGAGCTTCACGAGGGCGGACATATTGAAGGTTCACCAGCGTACCCACACAGGGGAAAGACCGTACTGCTGCGCTGTTTGTGGCCTCAGCTTCAAACGTCTGGATCATCTCAAATCACATCAACGGAAACACATGACGGATCTTTAATGTTACAGGGAAAGAGCATCGGAGAATTTGTTATTGTTTGTGGGTTTAGGAGGTTTAAAAATTAATGTTGTTATTTATGAGCCACGGATACATTTTTGCCTTCTCAGTTGTTATTTAAGAACTGTTTTTTGTTCATATAAAAAAATGAAGACAAAGAAAGCACCAAATATCACATTTGTCATGTTTGATTGAGCTAGTCTTGTTTGTATCCAATGACTGCTGCATATTTTTTACTTATACAGTACTGGCTTTGGGTAAATTTGAAAGAAAACAAAGCAACACTATCCTTGTGATTAAACAACTGATTTAAAATAAAGCTGGCTTTAGAAACTATTGCTTTTTCACATTCTTGTTACTGGAAATTCATGTGTGGTACACCCGTCCAAATGACATCAAGCAGACAGTGAAAGAAAGAACGAAACAACAAGCTGATCTGGACCCATGTTTTGTTTGTCTCTTGGCCAGTTCACAACAAGAAGTTCTGACCTAAAATCGGACATGTTGACCAACTCTTTAGACAAAAAATATTTTATATCTGACATCAGCTTCTCCAATCACTTCCTTTTGACACTACAAAGTAAAGAATGGATTGTAGATGTCAATCACACTGTCTCTACACACCCATACAGTCCAAAGAACACGCTGAAACACGAAAAAATAAGTATGACTGACAGCTGGGTGTTTTAAAAACCTAAAATACAATTCTGTAAAGTGAATGCAATCCAATGTGCTGTGTCTCTATTGCAGAAATCCCCACACAAGCACAGAAACTAATGGTACGACTACAGTCAGTGCTGATCTGAAGAATCTGATGCGTATGTGTAATTTGACCTATTTGCCAGAGATCAAACTAGATCAGAGGAGCGCATTAAAAAGGAAAAGTGATATCGCGCAAAATGAGAAGAGAGTTCCTGCAGATGAGGTGAGTGACACTGACGACACATTAAAGTAGCATCATCAAGAATTTGTAAGATAAAAGACATTTTTTGTAGAGTTTTAAAATATTAAGTACTTAGGTGATGTTCTTTTGATTTGTCTTTTTCAGTAGGTTGATCAGAACTGCTGAGAAATGTTGCTTGATATAAGTCGGTGGGGTCTGAAGCATTTCATAAAATGACCTTTATATGCAATCAACTCCCATCTTGGAGAAAGTATTGATAAGACGTTGTGCTAAAAGAGAACGACAGGGAGCTAAGTAGAAATTTTCTTAAAAAAGGGACATTTCTGTGGTTAAGAACATACTGGAATTCATGAATCTGTTGAAAAAATTTTACTCACAGTCTTCATGTGAAGTTTACTGTAGTGGGTGTTTACTAGTATTCCGGTATACGGTGGGCTCACCGACACAGAGCATGAGTCTGTGAAGGTGGACCGACCCTGAACATCTGCAGAGTCACACATTTATACTGTAAGACAGAGGGTAGGGAGGGCTTGTCTGTAAATACAGAAGTGAATAGAAGCAAATTAACATACAGTTGCTAATCAAATGGCAGGAGGTAATGGGACAATGAACAACAGGGGGTGGAATCGGGGGTCTGTGACAGGAGGTGAGAAAACACATGACAAAAGGTGATGGGAAAACGCATGGCAAGAGGGGATGAAATCAGGGCTCTGTGACCATCAAAATAAAGGAAAATGACTTTCTTCATCAAATCCACTATAGGTGACATGTATTGCCTCACAGCAAGAGGGAGTTGGACCATTGTATGTTCATACGGCAGGTATTTGGTGTTTTGTCTGGTTGTTTCATTCAGCTACAAAGTACGTTAAATGTTTTAATTTTAACATTTTTATAAGGGTTATGACCTCAGAACTGAGATTGGTCTCCAGACACTCATATGGCCAGGCATATTAAATAGGAAATTACCTTCCCAGGCATGAGTTATGATACAGAGATTTTGAGGGTTTTATCAGTGACTGAGGAAGGACTTCAGCACATCCACTAATAACAAGAAGCACTGAGACCATTTATACGGTAAGTGCCAAAAACCTCAGAGGAAATAGTGCACAGCAATATTTTATTGAAAAAATAATGAATGTCTAGCCTACATTTGGATTTGTGGTTACCTTCATGTGCTTTACAATAGTGAAAATGTTTTTCCTTACCCTAAGTAATGACAGTAAGTTATATCTGACAGCTTGATGCAGCCTGTTGGCTTCAGTTTAATAAAAACGCGTTTCGTTATTCGTGATGTCCCACTGAGGCCACCGTAGTGCGCTGTTTATGACGCCACTAGCAAAAACAAGAAGCACAGGCGAGTGTTTAACAGCTAGCTCGGTTTAGTGTTTATTACATACAATTTTCAACACAATTTAACACTCGATACAGCCGAAACCAAAAGCTTACTTTGAAAAACTTCGACACGTTAGACTGAAATATGTTTCGGAGCGTTCGTTGTACGATTTGTTTATGGCCAGATTTATTAACGATAGTTAGCTTTCCGATGCTACCTTCAAGCTAAGGAGGCACATTATCTGGCTAATTGACAGGTCCAGTAGGTATTTACTGTCGGTAAACATACCGTTAGTCCAGACGTGTGAGATTTATCACTTAATGAATTTCTTCTTTTCACTCATTACCCGGAATACCGACAACAACAAGTGGATGTATTGTTGAATAGCTCTGCGATGATGGCGTACAACTTCCTACAATATGTAGCAGAGTATTCAAGAAAGAAAATTTAAATCGGAGCCCCCGTCTTTCGCTTTTACCCTCCGACTCAAACACACGGAACTCCAGCGTATAAGACTTACAGGACACCCACGGAGTCTACCATGTCGGACCTGGACACCCTCGTAGTCACCTTTCAGACCCAGCTCTCAGATGTGATGGAGGCTGTGGTGAAGACGGCGATGTTTGAGGTCACCAGGCTGGTGGAGGACGTGGTGTTGGTGGAGGTGAAGCGCAGGAGCCAGGAGGTGGAGTCCCTGAAGATGCAGCTGAAATGGACCGAGAGTAAATTCAGTGACCAAGGGGCGAAAGACGAAGGAAAGACTGGGAAGTGTGTGGACTGTGCAAGAGATGATGTGGAGCTGTGCACTGACACTGTAGAGGAAAGGCCTGTAGAGCAGCAGGATGGTAAGAACAATAGCTATGATGGCCTGCGTTATTGTATTTGTTGTTGTTCTTCTTCTTATCCTATTTCCCCCTCCACCCCCCAGACGTGCTGATAAACTGTGGTGTGAAGAAAGAGGGCGATGCTGTTGAAAGATGGATAACAAGCAGCAGACAGGAAGTCATACCGGAGACACCACAGGAGGAAAACAATCCTTTAGACACTCAGAGCCCAGAAAAGGAATCACAGGTGAATCATGTCATGTGATTGTATGTTGTACTGCCATTAAAAAACGGAATTATAATTCATTAAATGTTCCAAGAATCAAGCGATTCCAGAGGAGTGTACTGTGAAGTAAGTTTAACATACTTTAAAATCCCAGTCAGAGAATACGGGCCTTACAACTTTATTATCAACTTTCTTTACTAGGTTTTCTCCTTCAGACTCAGTGCCTGCTCATTTAAAAGAGACCCGTCATGTGGATGGTTTACTGCACAAAATGGGTCGATCATGTGCTGCCTACGTCAGTAAAAAGAAACAGGTTGTTATCAAGGAAAGCCATAAAGAATATACAGTTCTATTACAGTAAAAAGGGTCATTACCACAAATGACGCAGGAGGGGAATGCTGGTAGAAAACTGTTCTTCGTGTAAGTCAGTATATTTATTTTGCACTCTCAATGCAGCTGCTTATTTCTTCCATGACAGTTGCACATTACACCCCTAAAAGCTTAAACTACATTCATTCAAACATTATATTAAAGAAGTGCATTCAGGTTTGACAATCTGTGTTCTATTCACTGCAATACCAGAAGTGCAAAGCAGACATAGCTGCAAATCAGGACCAAAAACATGTTTCTGCATTTGCTGCATCACCACCTGAATACATGCAGGTTCTCATAGCAACACAACACATACAGTTTGCGCTTCTGTAACTGCCTATCTTTGTTCAGTGGGATCAATAACGCACTGCTCGAAAGATTTGCAGCTGTAGCATATTCCCTCAGCTGAGAATCGCTCATAAAAAAATCACCAAGAAACTAACTGGTAAAAAGGAGGTGCTTCTTAGAGTCGATTAAAGTCTCTAAATCTCCGAACAGAACCTCCTCCAGATCAGGTTAGCTGTGCAGCATCAGTTATTGTGGTATCTAGCAGCCTCCTTCGAGACGCTGAAAACTCTGACTTTTAGGCTCAACATGTCTCGCATTGATCTTTCTTCTTTTGCACCTCTAAGATCTGTGTGGTTGTGAAAGACACTGTCCGTATTGGCTGTGAAAACTAAACAAAATGAAGTTACATGCTCAGTATTTTATGTGTTGTTTGGCTTGTTCAGGCAATTGAAGAAGAAGATGATGTGATGCCAGCTATTGATATGAAGAAGGAAGAAGTTATTAATCCATCTTGCTCTTCTGTGAATTTGGGAGGATGGAGTGGTACGCTTGATGGTGAGTATCGTGAAGTATGTATTTAATTCAACTGAAATTTTATTAAGGGCATTGCTCATTGATTGTCAATGGAACAATAAAATCATGAAATAGAAAAGCAGAAAAGAAAATAAAGTGCAATATTCCACAGCGATCAGCAACTTACATATGCACGCAAGAACGATAGTGGTTTGACTCGAAACTGACTGAGCTCAGTTCAGAACTGGTTAAAGTCAAAATAATAATGTTTGCAGATTTAGATAACCTGAACATATATCTATAAGGTTTCCTATTATAGCAGAGCAGATGGGTACATTGACATTAGTAAACATCTGGCTTGCACTGCAGCTTCAAGAGGCTTTCAGCAGCAGCGTCATACTGTCACTGTAGAGACATGTGCATCAGCCGTACATCTGCCGTTATCAAGACACCATGTTGCACACTGAGCTTCACTGTTATAATTGTAGATATAAACATGGTGAAGCAACTTGAAGCATATTAATTGTGCACATTTGGTACTAGTACTGCCAAAAAAAATGAAGGAAACCATTTCTTTAACTTATTTTAAGCCACGTTAAACCCCATTTTGACATTTTCTTTTATTTTTTTTTTTTAATGGGGATTAGACCATGAACACAACCCCTGTTTCTTTCTGATTCATTTTTCTAGGTGAAGAAGTAGCAGAATCAGACCATACTTCTGAGATGGTTGAGGCACAACCAATACAGACTCAAGAAAACAATGAGGAATTGTTAAGGACTGTCATTAAGCAGGACCCACAGATATGTACTGCTTATGGATTCTCTGAAGACCAGCAGGCATCACACATTGCTACAGATCAACCTCATGTTTCATCTTTGGAAATGGACACCAGTTGGGCTGGCCTGACTGTCAAAGCAGCTGGATTGCTGCAAAATCACAGACTTGGAGCTGAAAAGGAACGGGATTCAGTCAAAACTAAAGGCTCTCTGAAGCGTACAGAACACGAGCTGTCCGACTCTGTCAGAGCAGATGTTCAGGTTACCCCAGGCAGAGATCAGATTTCAACCTCAGGATCCCCTAAGGCAAGACTGCAGCACAGTGATACTTTGGGAGTGACTATCAAGGAAGAAGTTATCATCGATTCTGATGGGTGTGAGGAAAGTGAGCATGTAGAAAAGAAACTGACAAAGTCTGGGATGGCTTCTTTCTCCTGTTCAGTAAAGCAACACAGGGTGAGCTCAGAAGCACACAAACCAAACCACATCTACCATAAAGCCACTGTGCAGGAGGTTATGAAGCTGCATTCCAAAGTGGGTACGGGTCTCAGACTGCAAGCTGCTATACAGCACCTCCACCGACCGATGAAAAAGCCCCCTCACACACTTTTGAGTAATACTACTGCAGCGCTGTCTGTAGCTCACTCTCAGGTTGTAAACCTAAATAACCTCAACAGAATTCCTTCCACATCCAAAGCCGCTCCTCCTCCGACCCCCTCAGTCCAGCGAGTTCATCTGGGCGACAAACAAACTTCAGCACTTAACCGAACTGGCGCTCCGTGGGTCAGCGTCAAATCGCAGCATCAGTCGGCGAACTCTCACCACGCCAACCCCGCCCCCCATCCAGACTCTCACCCTCACGTGGGCCCCAGACACCTCCTGCGCTGTGGCCAGTGCGGGAAGTGCTTCCCCCACCCCAGCAACCTGAAGGCCCACCTGCAGACTCACACGGGCGAGCGGCCTTTCTGCTGTTCGCTCTGCGGGCGCAGCTTCACGAAGCTGAGCAACCTCAAAGCCCACCGACGCGTCCACACTGGAGAGAGACCGTACTGCTGCTTGGCCTGCGGCAAACGCTTCACCCAGAAATGTAACCTGAAGCGCCACCAGAGGATCCATCTGGATGTATGATGATGGACAGCCAATGGTCAAAAGATAAATTTGGTGTGTGTGTGTGTGTGTTTCTTATAGGCTACATCCACACTAATACATTTTCATTTTAAGGTGCATAATGTTTACTACATTGACGCCTCGTGTCCATACTACTTGGCATTTTAAGAGCTCTAAAACTGAGAGTTTCAGTTTAAAAACTCTGGGATGTGTTGTAGCCTTGAACGAAGACAGACGGAGACTTACTAACAATGATGCAGTCACAAGGTTGATTCTTCTGATTCGTCTAAAGTATCAATAAGCGTTCACTGCTTTATATCGTGACAGTTTTCCAGAAGAAAACAAAAAAATCTGCCTTGACTACCTGTGGTTAATTCAACATGTATAACAAATTGCAGGTGTTGCTTACCTTGTTGTCTTATTCTAGCAACTGTTGTGCAGTTCAGAAAATCGCTTCATTTTTCGCCAGTGCTGTTCTTCCTCCGTAGTATTTTTCTACAACTAAGCAACTTGTCGTTTACATCGGCACCTGCATGTCCAGTTTACGTGAACGGTCGTGTGATACGCGGTTTCGGGAGTGTTAATCTGAACAACACTCTCCTGGACAGAGATCGTTTTCGTGGTAAAAACCCGGCTTTCAAAATGAAAACGCGTCAGTGTGGATGTGGCCTTTGATTAAGACGCTACAGAGTTTACGTTGCAGTGCAGTACAAACCGTGTGACGCATTGCAAAGACTGCTTCTGTGTACTTGTCTGTAAAAGTGTCATCCCGAATTCTTCTGTGCATTCCAGAGAGGTTCATCTAGTAATTTATGGAGGTGTTTTAGTGTTATTAACAGACGAAAGGCGGTGTGTTGTTCAATGTTTCATGCGCAGAGGTAGATGCAACTTGTACTCAATAAATGACTGTGAATACTCTGATCTATTTATTTTTTTTCAGTTTTAGCAACCTGTGATAACAAAAACACAGATTTTACGTAGATCAGGGCCTATATTTATTCTACATATATTTATTAAGAGAGAAATTTTGGACAAACTTCTCCTAAAATAGTTTCAAATTAAACTGAGGTCCAGAGTCCTGTTAAGTAATGTAAGGGTAGCCGTAGTAGTAGTTGATGGCTGCAGCACATAAACATGGAGAACAAACATTCTTATATACGTTCATTACTGTTCATGACTTTTGAAGAAATGTGGAAGCATTATAATTCTGAATAGTGTTGTTTTAGCCAAACATTTGCTCTGCATTTCAGCATTTCACAGGAAGTTCCACTATTGATTTTATGGGTTTTCTGTTTTGCTTCAGTTTCAAGTATTTCATCCCTATTTACTTGTTAATGTATTATGGCTCTAGTAGATTGTTGGAGATTATTGGAGATAAAAAAAAAAAGATTTCAGAAATTGCTCATTTAAAATAAATAAATAAAGAATGCAACCATGGCCGAGATAAAAGGTACATCCTGGTCACTGGCTATTTTTTTCGTAACTAATATGTGGATTATCCATCCATTGGCAATAACTGCATTCTCCTGTAGAGGATCGCAGAGAGCTGGAGCTTCTCCCACCTGTTACAGGGTGACGACACAAAAAGACGAACCACCCTACGCTCTCATGCTCGCTTTAAAGTCCAATTTCGATTCACTAACTAACCCAGAGAGAACCCTCAAAGGGCAGAGGGAGAACATGAAAACGTCACACAGGAAAGGCCCAGATGAGCAGCAGTTTGAACCGTCTTGCTGTGAGCCGACAGTGCTAACCACATTGCTAATTTATATTTAGAAAATTTTCCATGAAAATTTAAAAAAAAACATCTAAAAACAACAAACACACACAATTGCATCTGATTGGCTAACCCTTGAATTGAGCATACATGTGATTTGAACTTTGTGAACTCTTAAAGAATACTGTTTACTCCACTGTGGGTAACTTCATAAATCTTTCTAGTTGTTCAATATTTTAGATATAAGTTTATATAAGTCTCATGGTGGCACGCTGCTAAAAGAAACGTAATTAAGATTTTTTATTTAATTTTTAATTTTTATTTTTTACAGCAGTTTGTGGTACGTGTGGTTTTATTACAACTTGATTGTTTGTTTCTACTAAGATTTCTACCCCAACATCCTGAAAAGTGCATCTTTTGAAGGCCTGACAGCACTTTAATTATCAGCAGCGTCACGAGTGGTTGGATTCATACATACTCACAGCTCTATTAGATAAGTTTTAAAAAACTCCTCCAAAAATTCCTTTATTTTAAGTTATTCAACGAGACTGTAGCGTTTTAACTGAACACTAGGTGTCAGCTGTTCACCGAGCTCACCGCAGGTTTCAGGACCTTGGCAGAGATTCGCAGATGCTTTTTTTGTCCTCTTGTCTGCCTTCTAATGTATTAATGGAATAGAGAGGTACTCTTGAAGAAAACCACTCCATTAGAGTAACAGTTCATGGTAACAAGTGTCTGTAGGCACTGTTTTAGTCGATCTGCGCGCCCAAGCCTGTATGTGTTACCTATCTTATGCTGAGGATTAAGCTAGATGCGGTGTATCTGTTGTTAGAGTCAGAGCAGCACTGTGCAGGTGGTAACAACCGATAACATTTTAATCTTATTTTCAAGGTGAGGAAAAAGCTAGCAGAGGCTAAACTCTTTCTGTGCATGTGTGTGTGTGCGCGCAAGAGAGAAAATGTGGATTAAAGCAGGACTTCTGTTCTAGATGATATCTTCCCTTTTTGATGTTTGAACCCAATAACAAGAGAAGTTATCTATGAAGAGCAATTGAGAAATACCTACTTAGCTGAATCTGCAGTGAGCATAATAGATAGCGGCTGCTGTGTGTTGGGGGGGAGGGATTGTGGAACCATCTACTCACAGTTGAATGTGTGGGAGTGTTCAGTATATACAAACATATTCCTGTACATCGGCCAACATGTACCTTCTGCCTGTGCATTTCAAATTGTACCTTAATCTTATGTGAATCTTTTTTTCTCTCTCTCTAATTGAACCGCTGTGATGTAAGCATCTCTTCTGAAGATGTTTAATTACTTAAAAAAGAAAAAAGAAAACAACAACCTACAAGACGCTTTCATTTCCCATTTCTCTTTAGTGTCCTCATTTGGACACATTTCCTGTTCATTGTACCGACACTTTTCTGGGCCCTTCAGTGATCTGTAAAGCTTCACTAAGGCGGCAGCATTATGAAGAATAGAAGGCTGTGTTTCCATGCAGGGGGTGAAACTGTGTGGCTTTTCCATTTGGCAATATCAGAAAGCTACTTCAAGCTCAGCTGCTGTTCAACTGGATTTTAGCTGAAGAAAAAAAAAAAAGAAAGAAAAGAAAACATAGTGGAAGATGTTCTACAAGGAGAAAGCCTTAATGCATCTGGACAGTCAAGGAACACTTCAAGATGTTGTTACAAGCTTGTACAAATTGACGACTGTGATTAAAAGTGTACCTGAGCAAAATACTGATCCTCTACCTCGATTCTTATCAATTAGAAGACTGTAAGAAAAACACTGAGTTGAGGAAAGCGGCAGGATCAAATCGCTTATTGTGCTTTTTAAAAATTACATTGCTAATAAAACTAATTTCACAGCTTGTCTAGGGGGAAAAAATCCTTTCGCTGCAGATGTTATCTTTCTATGTCCAGTGTACAGTTGGTGGGGTGATCTTATGCACTGGAAGTATAGTTGTTTTGCTCATTTCTTAAAGAAAGATATTTTCAATACAGCCACATCATGAACACCACCTGCCTCCAATCTATCTGACTTGTTTTTCTAGCACATCCTGCAGCTGCTCAATCGCACAGAGATCTGGAAAATTTGGTGGAAGCCATCGCCGTCATCCACACGAATGCTAGAATCCAAGGTTTCCCACTATCAAGATTACCCAGAGCACCACACTGCCTTCATTGGCTCGCCTTCTCTCCATAATGCATCCCGCTGCCGTCTCTTCCCAGGTAAATAATGCACATGCACCCCTTCGTCCACATGATGTAAAAGAAACAAGATTCATCAGAAAAATCCACCTCCTTCTATCACTTCATGGTCCAGTTTTGATGCTCACATACCTTCAATAGGTGGTCTAAGTAGTGGACAGGAGTCAGCACACTTTTCTATCATAGTTTTTAAGGAATTTGTACTATAGGAGCTCTTTTGTGGGATCGAACCACACAGGCCAGCCTTTGCTCCCCATGCGTATAATCCTGTCACCAGTTCACTGGTCGTCCTTCCTTGGACCACTACTGACAGAAACTAACCACCGCACACAGCAAACACCCCGCAAAACCTGTCATTTTGAAAATACGCTGACCCAGTCGTCATAATTTAGTCCCTGTCAAAGTCGCTCTGATCCTTAAACTGCCCATTTTTCCTGCCTCCAACATATCAATGCCAGAAACTCCTCACTTGCTGTCATATATTCCACCCCTTGACAGGTGCCACTGTAACAAGATAATCCATGGTATTCACTTCACCTGTCACTGGTTTTAATGTTGTGGCTCATGTACACTGTACACTTATACCATTGGCGAAAGACTTAAGTCACATTAGAATATAGGGATAAAATTCATACAAGGAGAAGGTTAAGGTGGATAGATGAGTCAGCAACACAGGAGACTGTGTTTTAATTGTTTCCCTTCTACCAACTGACAGCCAGTGTTGTCTTTTTACAAAAACATGACTGAATTGTTCCCTCGACCTTGTTTAGTGTTGTAACCCTGATGACGAAGATCCTCTAACCATAATGAAGCAGCTATTTTAACCTAAACCAAGATGTTCGGTGCCTAAAACCTTAGCTTAAATGATGTCTTCAAGTCATTAAAATGGATTGTTGTTAGCAAATGTCATCTTGTCGATGAGGGTGCCAGATATGAATGTGTTGTAAAATAAAAAATGTACTGCTGAATAAACAGCCACAAAGTAAACCAGGAACAGGTTATTCCAAAATGCACCACATGAAAGATATGTTTCTAGATGACACGGTGTAATCAGTTTTTTTTTTTTTTAAATTTCACAAAATAGAAAATCAAATCAAATAGAATCAATTAGATAACAAATCTTTCCCAGCTCTCCCAGAAAAGTTAGACTGCTTTTTGCCTCCCGTACACCCAAATATGTTTTCTACAGCTCCTAAATCTTTTTTTTTTTAAACTCTAAAACACACAAAACCCTCCAGTGTATTCCTTCATAATCAAGACTTGTTTTGGCTTTGCCTTCAGATCTCCCACTGTTTTTAATATGTTCAAAATTGTAGCACGTGCAACTCAGCACTGCCTAGTGTTTTGTAGCCACCGTCTTTAATTACCTTGAGCCCGCTAACGTCTCCCTGAGCTGGGAGAGACAAAAGAAAAGAAAAGAGGCGCACAAGAAAGAAAACAGACAGGAGGTGCCAAAGGATAAAAAAGAAGGCAAATAATTACATTTTTGCCTGGCAAATTTCATCGCAAATTCCTTGTATTAAGGGAGCCGCAGCCCCCTTTAACCCCTTTTTTTTTTTTTTTCATTTAATTTGCAGGGCAATAATGGTATTAGCAGTGCTTGACTGGACTTAATAATGCCTCTTCCTACTTGAATTGATAGCTAAAGAAACTTTTTCTTTTCTCTTCTGTGTCAAATCATTCAAATGTAATATTCAGTGCTTAACAGGCTACAGAGTGCACTGTGGAAGATTTATGTCAAGGCTAGTGTGCCTTATTCATAACACCTTCATATTTCATAAAAGCAGCTCAGGCAGAAGAGAATGAACTTTGATGTGTTTTTCATTCTAAATTTTATTCCCATTTGTTGTAAGTCCACTAAATCCATTAAGAAGGAGGGGTTTAAGTCCTTGAGCTTCACCTTCTTTTTTATTGTGTATGAAAGAATAAGTGCCACTATGAAGACAGCACTATTTTACTTGTTTCTGCTAAGATTCTCTGAACAGGGAGTGTATT